TCATTGCATTCATTGCATGATGTGTACTTTGCCTGCTGACGCCTGTTGTGATTATTTCATACTTCGGTCAAACAATCACAATATTGACTCTTTGCATATTCATTTGCATTTTTATTCACGTGCATGCATAATAGCGAGTCAGGCTCGATATATGAGTGACCACGTGTTGGTCGCGATGTCTTAACGAGCATTGCTGGTCGGGTCAATCCCGACAAGCAATGCGGTTTAAAGCATCAGGATTGACATGAATATGATTGTTCTAAGGATTCAAGAAATTTAACATGTATCACCCTGCATGTTACGGGTCTACATTTAATAACCCTTATTTAATATATATACACACACACATACTTATTATAACTTGCTATAATTTTAAAATTATGGATGAAACAAGGTAAACGATATGTAAGGCCAATACTTTTCAAAATCAATAATGAGTTACACTCTTTAGATCTCTTAGATATTTAGGACGGAGGCCAATGTGACGGCCATACGTACCCGGAGAGTATACCCTGTGCACTAAGTTGCAAGTTTGTTGGTTTTTCCGCTAACATTGTTTTAATGCAGATAGAGTCTTTTTTTTTTCTTTTTTGATGTATTTTTTAGAATCATTAGCAGAGTCATGTAGCGGAAATAAGATACAGGTGCAAGTTCCAAGGCGTTTTGGCTCGAGAAACACATGACGGCGGACCATAAGCAGCAACTCATGTCTAGTATCTCAATTTCACATTTGATATTGATGTATAGACTTAAGACCAGACATGTATATGCAGAATCCTACCGCCTTTTTCTTTTCTGGGATATGTTGCTGACACAGCGACACCATCTTTTCTTATCATTTTGATTTTGACTAGTTTTTTTAATTTTTTTGCATGTTTGAATGCTTGAAATGAATTAATTATTTCTTTCTGTGGTTTGTTTAAAAATCATGAAAATAACTTAGATTTTTTAGGACTTAGAATTTTAAATTTGCTATAAAATCTAATAAAACATTCCAGATAATGCAAATTTTAAGATTAAAATATTCATGACTTTAAAACTCACAGTTTTACTTTCCTGCATGACTTTCAGGCTCGATTTTAAATGTATTGCATAACATAGCTATATTCTAAGTCATATAATAAAGCCTCGACTGGTGGATAACTGCATTCATATTTGCATGTTTCGAGGCGAAGCCCCTATGCTTCTCCAACTCAACTGACCCATCATATATTTCTAGTTAAGTGGTTGTCTTGTGCGTTTAGAGTGTTAGAAGGTTCCCGATCTAGACAAGTGTAAGTCCCTTTGTTGGGAGCACTCAAACTTTGTAGTTGAACCTCCCTTTCTCTTCCTTTCCCGCAACATCCACGCTGCCTCGGCGGCTAAAATCCCCCCACCCCCCCATTTAGAGCTCCATCTATAGTCATAGGATAATTTCGTTCCTCTGACCTTAGGGCTATCGAGGTCCCTATTGACACAATTCACTAGTTGTTGATTGATGATCTCTGGACGTGTTGGTCAACTACCTTCACAACTAGGTAGACTTAGGTTCCTCGTAGCTTGGGATGACAGGTCTACGGTGCCCCGACCCACCTACCTCTACCTTTTAAGATTACTTTACCCTTCCTTTGCTGAACCCCTTTGAGCTCTGCCGCTTCTTTGACTTCATTAATATCATCTTGACGACCTGATTACCAATGATCAACCGCTCGGTTGGGATATGGTGACTCATCATCTGCCCTTATGACCAGGTGAGCTCCGACGTATAGGGATATACCTGTCGAGATGATTTTGGTTATTTCGTAAATTCTGATGTCAACGAGCCACTACCTACTTGGGATGTGAGAAACTCACTCTTTTCCCTATGACTTAGCAAGAGTTTCGAAAGCATCAGAGCATTCCCATACAAAATAACCATCTTCTGATGACATATTCTCAAAATTCATAATAATAGAAACGAAACTCTTTTTATCAATAGTATTCATGGGGATCCCCCAGTATGTAATTAACAAGAGAGGTACGTTCCACTGTAAGACTCTTAATCCCAAAATAAAAATATTCTTTTGGTTCTCTGGTTACAGTTGACATATGTAGGGATTCTTTTTGCGGATGTTGTGTTTCAAAGTACTTCGATCCGATCTTATTCAGACATATTCTTGACCCATCACACGAGCATTACCCATATATAAGTATTCCGTTTTGTTTCTTTTCTTTGTTTGTCTATTTATTGTCGTATATCATTTTTTTTAATTTTTCTCATCTTCGAATCATTAATATGATTTAGGAGATAGATTTATTCGAATAAAAAAATTATATAGCGACATATAAATAGGCAAGTTGGCAAAAAAAATCGAGAAAACACTGACTCCATACTACGAGAAGATAGAAGGTTCGACAGATGAAGTCGAAGCTCCTCCAACCCCAAGAGACTAACGCGGGAGCGAGCCACGGCTCCCACAGTCGCACAAAGACTGAAACGAGTAGACTTTTTTTTCTTTTTCTTTCCAATTAGCAAGTTCCCCTCTTTTCTTTCATTCATTTTTAGTAATTTTCAATATATGTGTTGTATTAGGGTTTATCAGTGATTTTTTTTTTCGTGTGTTTCGTATTGAGATAGCCGCCAATTTCTCTTTCTCCCTTCAAACTAATCCTAAAGGACAATAGCATTCTAGGTGGTGCTTCTGTTTTATCTTATTCTCTAGGTGGTGATTATCTTCTTTATCCCGTTCTGAATCTTGCCCAAGTAGTTCTCAACTGCCCCAGAACACCAACATGATGTTTTTCCTGCAGCTTCCCAATTCCATCCACTTGTCCTCGTTGCCGCCACCCTAGACAGCCATCCTCTTGTTGTCATATAGTCTCCCGCATTCCCCATCAGTTTCACCAAGATTTCCCCTCACTGCAGCAGCCCGAGAATAGCCTTTTCCTGCTATTTTTAACTATTTTAGCCACCCGGAAATAGCTGTTCTTCTCCTCCCAGCTTGCTGCCATTGCTGCTATTGCCATTGCTGCTACTCTCCCCTTCGTTGTCGCCGTCCTACTGTGTTATTGCCAGCCTTTCACCCATTCTTTGCTATCTCTTCGGAGGACCAAACCCTCATTGAACAATACCACCACTTTGAGTTCCAACCAATTTGAGTTTGTTGTATCGTGCCTGTTGTTACTTCAAGTTTCAGAGTGTCGCTTTGTTGTATTTTCCCTTTCAAGTGATTTGGTTGTAACCGCCTATGTGCTTTTAGTAATGATATTTACAATCCTACTGTGGGTTAGGTTAACTCTGGTATCATTACCACTTTTTAAAAGTAAAATACATATTTTCATGCATAAGTTTAAACCACTAAAAGTGCAATTTATGTAAAAATGGATGTTTAGGTGTGAGATACATAGATACTTAAGCGTGGTCCACCACGAAACAAAAAAATAACAAAAGAAAAACAGGCAGAGATACTTTATATTTAAATAGGAAAAAAGCCAAATTCAGAATGACTTGGCAAAGCAGCTGCCATCTTATTCAATGCACTATCATTTTTTACGATGTTTGAGAGAGAACTTCAAACAACATAGCGTACATTGATCTGGATCATATTGTCCTTTAGGATTAGTTGCGCCAAAAACAATAGTACGAGTGCTCAGAGTTGTCACAAGGCCAGCCTAAAAAATAGATCATAGAAAAAAATATTAGATTTCATCAATCAATCACGTTCATATGTTACCTAATTTTTCTCATCTTCGAATCATTAATATGATTTAAGAGATAGATTTATTCGAATAAGAGAATTATATAGCGACATATAAATAGACAAGTTGGCAAAAAAAATCGAGAAAACAATGACTCCATACTACGAGAAGATAGAAGGTTCGGTAGATGAAGTCGAAGCTCCTCCAACCCCAAGAGACTAACGCGGGAGCGAGCCACGGCTCCCACAGTCGCACAAAGACTGAAACGAGTAGACTTTTTTTTCTTTTTCTTTCCAATTAGCAAGTTCCCCTCTTTTCTTTCATTCATTTTTAGTAATTTTCAATATATGTGTTGTATTAGGGTTTATCAGTGATTTTTTTTTTCGTGTGTTTCGTATTGAGATAGCCGCCAATTTCTCTTTCTCCCTTCAAACTAATCCTAAAGGACAATAGCATTCTAGGTGGTGCTTCTGTTTTATCTTATTCTCTAGGTGGTGATTATCTTCTTTATCCCGTTCTGAATCTTGCCCAAGTAGTTCTCAACTGCCCCAGAACACCAACATGATGTTTTTCCTGCAGCTTCCCAATTCCATCCACTTGTCCTCGTTGCCGCCACCCTAGACAGCCATCCTCTTGTTGTCATATAGTCTCCCGCATTCCCCATCAGTGTCACCAAGATTTCCCCTCACTGCAGCAACCCGAGAATAGCCTTTTCCTGCTATTTTCAACTATTCTAGCCACCCGGAAATAGCTGTTCTTCTCCTCCTAGCTTGCTGCCATTGCTGCTACTCTCCCCTTCGTTGTCGCCGTCCTACTGTGTTATTGCCAGCCTTTCACCCACTCTTTGCTATCTCTTCGGAGGACCAAACCCTCATTGAACAATACCACCACTTTGAGTTCCAACCAATTTGAGTTTGTTGTATCGTGCCTGTTGTTACTTCAAGTTTCAGAGTGTCGCTTTGTTGTATTTTCCCTTTCAAGTGATTTGGTTGTAACCGCCTATGTGCTTTTAGTAATGATATTTACAATCCTACTGTGGGTTAGGTTAACTCTGGTATCATTACCACTTTTTAAAAGTAAAATACATATTTTCATGCATAAGTTTAAACCACTAAAAGTGCAATTTATGTAAAAATGGATGTTTAGGTGTGAGATACGTAGATACTTAAGCGTGGTCCACCACGAAACAAAAAAATAACAAAAGAAAAACAGGCAGAGATACTTTATATTTAAATAGGAAAAAAGCCAAATTCAGAATGACTTGGCAAAGCAGCTGCCATCTTATTCAATGCACTATCATTTTTTACGATGTTTGAGAGAGAACTTCAAACAACATAGCGTACATTGATCTGGATCATATTGTCCTTTAGGATTAGTTGCGCCAAAAACAATAGTACGAGTGCTCAGAGTTGTCACAAGGCCAGCCTGAAAAATAGATCATAGAAAAAATATTAGATTTCATCAATCAATCATGTTCATATGTTACCCAAAAAAAAAAAAAAAACACAAAACCTCTCCTTTTTAAGTGTACATATCTCAATTTATTATGGCCTTAATTAAGATTACAAGTTAGCCACAAAAGTCTATAAAAAATTTCATTATTTGAAATTTGATTGATGCTTAAAATTTTGAAGTGAGAAATAATATGTAATTTTATCTGGTATAATATATATATATATATATATATATATAAATATTGACAAATTAAGGATATAATTGTCATAATCTAGCCTGGTAGCTAATAATTAATAAAATCAGAAACTACGGTCAGACGACATTAACCTTCTCCTTTTAAAAAATAAAAGGTCATAACTTCTAATATTACAAAGAGCCACTTAGAAAAATCATAAAATACACCAAACAAAATCAAATTCAACCAAAACAACAACATAGTTTGAAAGAAAAATAGTATAGCAATCCAACAAACAACATTCTAACATTACTCAAAAATAAAAAGAATAATGAAACTAAAACCATAACAAAAAATCAACTATCTAATCCTTTCCTATAAACCGACTCTCTTCCATCAGTCATACAATTTAGAATTTTGACTGAAAGAAATAATTAATTTTAAACATTAACTTTATCACAACTTAGTGAATAATTATAATCTTATTAGTATTAAATTAATATGCAAATCCCAAAGAAATGTGATTCATTAATTAATTAAACTTAATATTTCATTTTAAATTACTCCTTCCTGTTTCATTTTAAGTATTTAATTTTTTAACTTTTTTAAGAAGTCATATCAAGATCACCGTTATACTTAAAGGTGTCCTAAAAAAGTTTTACCCATAAGTACCATAAAAAATTTATACCCGTAGGTGCCATCAAAATTTTGTACCCGTAGATATCAATTAAAGTTCGTACCCATAGACACCATCAAAATTTTTGCACCTTCGCACTAAACGGTACACAATTACCATTTTTATTTCCTTTTTCGTGAATGGATTTAACAACAAATTAACCCTGAATGACTTAATCATTTATTTTTCATTTTCTTTTATTATATCTATTTAAAGTCATTTTACAACTATTTACCATTTTATGTTTCAGTTATTTCCATTTTAAAGATCATTTAACTTTCAAGATGCATGTAATAAGAAAAGAAAGTATTTTTAAGACAATCATTGAAGTCTTTTTTTTTAAATAAGATATTAGTTTAATACAAAAAAGAAAGCAATTACTCAACTTTGCATTTAAAAACCTCTTTAAAAGCTTATTCCACAACCTCTTTTGATTGTCACCTATATCAATTGAAAGTACATATATTCATATAAGAACCCTATTCCTAAAAGGAATGAGTACAATATAACTAATTTATTTATATATTTTTCCCTCCTACATTTTGAATCAAATATTTTTCTCAGTTCTACTTACTACTCATGAAATTTAATATCGATCTAATGCTATTAAAACAAGTGTATAAATAAAAACAAAAACAATTACCTCCTCTATCTATTTCTTGCCCCTTACAAAATTCATGATTCAAAAACTTAATCTTTTGAATCAAACTTTCTTAAAAATTTGATTTAATTCATAATATTAGCATTAATACAAAATTATTAATTAAAACGAAACTTCTAACATATACTTAATAGCAAACCCTATTCTTAAGTTTATTATTGGGCTCGGTCCGAAAGCTCAAAAAGGTGCACAACTCCTCTATCCCGCTGGCCAAGGTTCGCTGAGGCTTCGACTGTCCACTTTACACACGTATGTTGACCTCATTTTGAGGTCATTACCTTTTTCCTTAGGAGCCTAGAATTTATCCATAGGACTTTCCTATTGACTATCTTAATAAACTAGTATTGGAATCCATCCCCCTAGAAAAATTCCAACCACTTCCTATTTTACTTCCTATTTTTCTTGTGATGTCTCGCATTGATGATCTCAAAACCATCGTCGTATGATCGAGTGGTTAAGGACTATCATGTGCAGACTCAAGGAGAAATTCCCAATAGGATCTCAAGTCCTAGGAAAACCTCTTCAGGACTTTATCACCACACACACACACACACAAAATGCACAGAATTCACTAAGTTGCACAAGATCAGATTAAAATTGAGCTTAAATGATGGGTGAAAATGCGAACTTCTCCGAACGACCTCTGATGACAAAATGAATTGCGTCAACGCGTCCGGGACATCATTTTTAGCTAGGAAAGACACACATATTGCTATAATTTCCGACACAAACAAATTGCATGCAAATCGATGAATTTGTCAAAACAATCTCTGACGACGAAACGGACCACGCCGACGCGTCTGGAAAGTCAGAATTACCTAAAAAGAACATCCATTTTTGTTATGCTATGACACGAGTAAAAATATACAAATCAATTTTTTTATTTTTGAAATATTAAATACTTTTATATTTATATTATTACTTATAATAATAATTATAACCCTAAACCCTATTTACCCCTTTCTCCGGCACACTTAGCACTTCGTTCGACCTATCCCGCAGCTCGATAAGTCGCTTGGCTCGTCCCTGTGTGCCCTAGATCCCGTGGCTCATCCACACGACAATCTTCCTCTCTCTCGACTCTTCTCCTTCCCGGGTGGCCGCTCGACCGCTTAACTCTCTAATCGCGGGAGCTCGGCTGGCCGACTCTTCTCTTTCTCGAGGCTTTACTTTCTCCTCCTTTATGGTGACGATTCCTTCCCGTTGTTTGATTCGACTACCTTAGGACTGGTAGGTGGTTGTCCCCCTCTCATCTCTGCCTATAAAAAGACTTCTTAGGGCACTGTTTTGGGTTGCTGAAAATTTTGAGAAAAAAAGAAAGGCTGGGGTTTTTACTGGTTGTTGTTTAAGGCTTCTAGGAGAAGGCTCTGCTAGAATTCCTTCTCGGCTAAGTTCTTGTGTGATAGGAGTTTGAAGAGTTCGTTGGCTGCTGTTTTTTGCAGCTTTTAAGAGGCTGTAGGAGGTGTTTTCTTGAATCTGTCTTACAGTTTTACTTTGAGTTTGCATTAAGAGGTATTTCTCTTCTTTCCTCTAATCTACACCATTTCAGATGACACCTAAAAGTATTTATTTCCTCTTCTAAAGCATGTGAAAATAAGATTTATGTCTGTTTTAAGATATAGTCATGGATACTTGATATAATCAATAAAAATGAAGTATAATATGGTTGTCTTCTCTTTTTTCTGCTCGAAATACTTGGAGAAGTCATAGTTATGAGCTCTGAAATAATATTTGCTCATCTAGAATTCATGCTGGAAATGAAATATTGATGTTTTTTATTATTATTCCTGTTCTAGTAGATGTTGGAATTAGTTTCAATATTAGATAATATGTTGGTATTAGGAATCTGTTTATGCTTATTCGTTCTCTGTTCTCTGTTCTCTGTTACTATTTGAAACATATGTCGGGCATAATATTTTGAGACACAAAGCTTCATGAGATTTGACTTTGATGGCTAGAAGTGTTGTCTTTTTGTTTTCCCCATTTGGTGGGCTCAGTTTACTAGTATTTTTTCTCTATTTTTTGTATCTTTTGTTGGGTTTGGTTTGGCCTGAAGCTAGGCTCGATTTAGTTGGAAATTATATTTTGTTTTGATCCATTTGGTGGGTTCGATTTTAGCTTCCTTATGGATTAAATGTTAGCTGGAAATTATATCCTGTTTTGACCCATTTAGTAGGCTTGGTTTTGGTTTCCTTTTGGATTAAATATTAGCTGAAAATTCTGCCCTGTTTTAGCCATTTGGTGGGCTGCGGTTTTGGCTTAAATTGTATTCTTTTCTTTAGCCTTTATATTGGGTTTAATTGGATTTTAGACAAGAAATTGGTTTGGCCCAAAAGCATATATGTTGGCTCTCTTTTGCTGGGTTTAGTTGGACTGAAACTGTGTTTTATTCTTTTTTTTTCGTCCCACCTTGTTGGGCTCGGGGGCCCAAAAGCATATATGTTGGCTCTCTTTTGCTGGTTTTAGTTGGACTGAAACCGTGTTTTATTCTTTTTTTTTAGTCCCACCTTGTTGGGCTCGGAGTACAATGGCAATATCTGTGGTGGCTTTCTTTTATTGTCCCATAATCGTGAGCCTTACATTGTGATTTCTTTATATGGCAAATTGGAGGGTGGTGGTGTTGGTTGCTGCCTTTGTTGTCCCTGGTCGTGAGCTTGTCTTAGGGTTGGGTTGTTCTTTTTCTTGTCCTAAACTGTGGGCTTACCATTGGAGCTAAGTTACGATTTTTCTGATCTCTACCCATAGGCTTATTTTGTGGTTTGGTTGTGCCCTTTCTTGGCCCTACCCGTGAGCTTAAATATGTGGTGGCTTCTCCTTTACTACTCCTACCCGAGAACACCTACTGGTTGGTTGTGTGAGCTGCTGCCCTTACCTGAGGATATTCATGTGATTCTATTTTATTTTGTTTAGTTGTCCCTGACTTTCCCCTTTGTTGTGAAGTTTGTTTACCGGTTTTGATCTGCTGCCCTTACCCGTAAGCATCCTAGTTGGTTTCCCTTTTGTCCTGTTTGGTTGTTCTCTGCTGCCCCAGGTCGTGAGTCTTCACCTGTAGCTCTTTTATGTTGAATATGGTTGGTTTGGGGCTTGGCTTTCTCCTTGCTGCCCCTGGCCGTGAGCCTTACCGTTGTGGTTCCTTGGTTTGTGTCGTGATTGGTTCGGGCTTGGCTTTCTCCTTGCTGCCCTTACCCGTGAGCTTTTGTCCTATTTCCTGTCCTAAATCGCGGGCTAATATTGGAGCTTGGTTGTGCATTTTCTGGCTTCTACCTGTGGTCTTGTTATGAGGTTCGGCTGTCCCTTTCTTGGTTTTACTCGTGAGCCCCTATCTTCTTTCCTGTCTCTACCCGTGAGCTTGTTGAGGATTATTCATGTTCATTTTGCCATGGGCCTGAGAACTTCTATATTTTCTAAATTGGTGTTACATTTATACAATTGTGAAAAGATATTGGCATGGTTTTTGG